AAGAAAGATAGTTAAAGAGATAAGATTATTAAAGATTTACTACTTATGAGAGAAGCAATTTCAGGGTAGATACTAGGAAGGTGCTTCAACGCCACGTGTGAATTAAGAGGTCGATGACGTCAGCATAATGACGTATGGAGCGACGTTTTATGGTGGCGAAAAGTGAGATTCCACTTAAAGTAATCAGTTTTGTTTGGGCCTTACGGGCCATAGTAAAGGTGTTATCGTCTACGTTAAGGTCCATGTTAACATTGGTGATGGAACCGTGGATTATTTGGATTTTGGGTTGAATCAATGGCTGAGGATTTAAGTTGTATGCGTTTGCTTCTGCTGCGTTTGAAGCAGACATGACTTCTGTACTTTACAGTGTAGACCAAAGACAACAAAAAAATTGACTTATTGAAAATTATCAAAAATGTAATCATACTTGTCGAGATATTGTAATAAATTTTAGGGAAATTAGCAAGGATAACCAACGAAATTTTTATAATTTAAAAACTAACCAATTACCATAATTTTGGTGATTATAGTTTTGCCACATAAAGCAATTTTAGCTAGTTTTTAAATTTTTTTATTTGGTTATCTTGCAAATTAACCATAAACTTTATCAATTTTGTCTGGCCTAACTTTAGCAAATCGTTAGTTTTATTCCGAACCAATCAGTATATGTAGATTCATTATTTACGAATCCGATCCAGTTCTATATATAAACCAGCTTATTATCCATATGTTTTCAGAAATCTTTAAAAAATAAAAAAAACTCTAATTTTGATAGAAGACTTATACCTAATCACGAGATTGTTTCTTATATTACTAATTTTTTTATACTCTTCCAAATCTTTTTGGGTGCAGTGTATATTATGAATATATATTACTATTAGACACAAACTTGCCCCACATAGATACGAACAAAATTTCCCAAGTCTATTTCTAAGTCAACGATTCAAAGTGGTCTTTTAATCTTCTTGTCTTAAAAGATAAGACGAAATTTCCTGGTGCCACTCTTTTAATCTTTTTTTAGACGTACCAATAATTACTCTTTATCCTCTGAAACAAACATAAATAATTCCCAATCAGATAAAAAAAAAAGGAAACATGTGACGTATTCAATTACCTATTAAGTGATTTACGTGCAAATGGTTAAGAATTTTTCACATATTGTGTTACTTTTTTTTTCTTGGTCGTACATATTGTGTTACTATGATTAACAAGTTTAATAATCCCTAACTTTAAAGAAAAGAAAAACAATAAAATGGTTAAAAGAAAGATAAAATATTAACTGGAAAGACTGAAACAAAATGGTGGCGGCTGGTCAAAGGTGAAGGAGTGTACCAGTGTGTGGTTAAAATTGGAGAAACCGTTTTTAAAAATGACATGTCTATCTGTATATTGCTTGGATTAG